TTGCATGCCGAACGTCCTTTTAGAGGAGTCCCTTAGAAAAGCAGTTGACCTCTAGACAAACCGCACCATAAGGCCACATCTCTCCAACAAAAGTTGTGTTTTTTGTTAGTTGAAATTTTGGTACAAATGATCGTTGGGGAGAGTTGGTTGCCCTATTAGCTAGGAAAAAAGATATATTGTGTGGCATTTATAAACTATTAGTATACATATATTGATTCAAAAAAAAAAGAAAAAATGTTTGCTATATTATTAATATCAGAAATCTGTCATATAACCTGGTCTAGAAATTTGATTGGGTCTACTAATAGACATTGTATTGCATGGTTTGGAGAAGTAGTGTCCTCCACTACACTTCGGACAAAATCAAAAAAATATCTAATATTTCGGTGACACTTGTTTCATTTTTGACTTATAGCTACGTTTCGGTGGATTGGCGGAATTGGACCTTTATTTAGATCATCTGAATTTGAACCCTAAATTTACATTCTCTGATATACTAAGGGAAGTGTCATTTATCACCTGATTTTTTTGGAGGGGGGTCCCTACCAAAGTATCATATACGTATTTACACATACTTTCGGAATTTCAATTCATTTATCATGTAGGAGAGGGGTAATGTTTACTATTTAAAAAAATCAGATAATAAATGACACTTCCCTAACTGATATCCGTTATTAATTTGATATAATTATTGTTACCCTTAAAATGATTAATTTAGGGTCTGATTAAAAAGGCCAATTTCGCCGTTCCACCGAAATGATTATCATAAATCCTGGGACAACTGAAAAAAATTGCCAATGACCGAATCGACAAGTTACTGAGTCAAGATCAATAAGTTACTGAATTAAGCAAACATCAAAACTTATTGATTCTATCATCAGCGAGTTTTTTTTTTATCCAAGAGATCAATTTATAAGTTATAGACCGGTCTGGACCATAACATCCTTAACATAAACCAGCGCCTCTTTTATATATATTTTACAAAAAATGCTATAACTTAAAAACAATTGAAAACTTTTTTAAAAATTCTTTAACCAATTTGTAGTTTAAAGTCTAAGATGCAGTTTTGCTAGAAGAGATTTGGGTATTAGCGGAAACGAAGTTTCCACTTGTACACATATGGATCAGGGTATTTTTGCCAAATACCCTGTGATCTTAATATAGTGATAGTGATCAGGATATTTTTACTTTATTTTAATTTTAAGAAGTTATACCAGTTTAAAGTTTATAATACAGTCAACTCTCTCTAAGTGCACATCCTCTAAGTGCAACTTCTCTCTAAATGCAATTAAATAGTCTGGTCCCGTGTTGGGACTTATAACATAAATGCAAGTTCTTTATTCTCTAAGTGCAAGATTTTTTTTAGCCAGCATATATAAAATTATTTTCTCTAATTGCAAGATATTTTATTAACCAATTAAATTGACTTATTTAATTAAAGTTTTTTTTCTAAGTGCAAGTTATTTTTTTTAACTAAAAACTTGCATTTAGAGAGAATTAATTATATATTAATTTAGTTTTCTTTAAGTGCAAGTTCTCTCTAAATACAAGATATTTTGCTGGCCCGTTGACTTGCACTTAGAGAGAGTTGACTGTAGTTTGAAAATTTGGCCGTTAATATATAAAAAAAGAAATATATATATATAACTAGCAAATAAATAATTGATTATATGATTTAAATTTGATCACCTTTTAATAAAAAGATGTTAGTTTATGCTGTCCCGCACTGATATATTAATAAAATTAATATAATTCCGAAAAATGGACATGATAGAAATATCATGATAGATAGATTATAATTAAGGGTTGAGATCGTTTATCTGCACAAAATTTATTCGTAGAATGTTTTTTGAAACTGAAAAACCAGTTGGGCTAAACAGCTAGATACAGTTAAATGATTTATTGCTTAAAAATTTTTTGAACTGGTTAAAATTTGTATCTATATAACTCACATGGGCATTATTTGAAAAATCAGGTTCGAGAAAACTTTTATATTTGTCTCAAATGCGCGCACTCTAAGCTAGGAAGCAGGAGCTGTTGAGTCCGGAGCCTTAATACCTAGATTTTAGTTTTATAGTTTTTCTTTTAAAAATATTGTAATATTATTTAAAATAACAAGGCTATCACCAACAGTGATAAGATATTTTTAGAAAGTATTTTAGATATTAATACAGTATTTATTATTCAATATATTAGTAATTTTTATTATATAACATCTTTCCACCAACAATTTATATCTAGCAGCACTAATATAAATCAAGCCAAACCTTAACTTCATTTAATAATCTAGATTTAATAATCTAATAAAATTTATTTAATTATAAATAAGTTAAATATTACTTACCGTCGGGAATTTCAACATCAATACATTGACTTCCTAAACATATACATATATTAAAACTACAATTTTAAGAAATTACCTTACAGGCTGATAATAGTGATGAACTAATAAAGAAATTAATAATTGGTTATTAATATCATTAATCATTAATAATTTGATCATTACTATAATTCCTATGTGATTACATGCGTGCGGACAAACTATAAATAAGAGAAAAAACGCGCGTTGGCGTTTTTTAACTTTGGAAAAAAACGCATCTATCTTTATTTACTTGTTGCATTCATAATTCAGTGTTGGCATTTTACTGTTTTTTCTATTGGGTCATAATTCTATTCACTTTTTTTAATTTCTATTGTAAATTTTTAAGATTAAACTCTATTAATTTATTATGAATATACATTATATTATTTTACTAATGCTCTAATAATTTAAATAATTACAAATTATTATAAAAAATTTTTTTTGCTTAAGAAAAAAATCATGTTTTGTTCCATCGTTCTAATTACCAACTCTGTTCATTATGAAATAGAATATTATATTTATGCAACGAAATTCGACTTGTAAAAGGTTGCGAATATTAACTCATTTTTAGATAAATGGTATAGATTTTAATGATACGGAACTCGGAAATAACTAATTTTTCGCAACTGTAAAAATCATGATTTGAAATAACTTTTTTTTTTAAAGCTCAAAAATAAGTTTACTAATACAATATCTAGGTAATTTTAGAGTTCTTTTTTTTTTTTATAAATAACTATATAGTATATCAACCCAAACACTTATAAGCTCTTAAATCGAACTTGAACCAAGCTTAAAATTCATAGTTCGAGTTCGGGTTCGTTCGGGTTTTGTTCGATTCGAACTCAAACCTCAGAGCCTCAATTCTGTATTTGTAAAAGATTATGATATATAGTTAAATAAATATTAATCTATGACTATTTTTTAGATCAAACTAATTATATGAATAAGCATTTACGCGTGTATCAGATGATAATTAAACAAAGGTAACATAAATTTTGGTAAAGTATTGATGGCAAGTTATGCTTTAGCCTCATTTATTAAAACATAAAAACTAAATATATATATCCATATCAAAAACTTAAATTTTTATGTACAAAGTTAACCCGTTTAAAAGAAAACATATCATTTTTTTAGTGACACATTCACACTATTAAAGGCCTTTTATAAAGTCTCCAGTTCTATGTATAATGAGAATATGAACTAAAATTAATATCGCTTGAGCAATACTTTGAGTTGTTCTTCATCACTCTTAGATTTACAAAATTTATGTTCATCCTAATAATTCGTCGAAAGATTTAGCAACAAATCATTAGTAATTTTGTCAAAGTTAATGTTTCGAGTAAATCTAGTTTCGAGCTTATGTTCCAGATTATGAAACAGGTTCACCCGAAATATTAATCAGAGAATTTATTTATTATATACGTTACCTCTTTTACTCCGACATAACATCGTATCATGGGCTCACCAAAAGCTCCGATAAGTACTTTGTCCTCCTTCAATGCTTTTAATGTATCTAATAGACTTCCAGGCATTCTCTCAGTAACACCTTTCCTTTTACGTTCTTCATTGCTTAGAGCAGCAGGATTATCTATTATTGAATTTTACAAGAAAACTTCATATTAGTTATATGGTCATATATAAAAATAATTTAATATATATATATATAATATCTTAATTGTATAATGAATATGTTTTTCGTTTACCGAGCATAGGATCACTAATAAGTTGCATTCCTTTCTTGATTCCATCAACTCCCGAAGCAATAATGGCAGTGAAAACCAGGTACGGGTTGGAAGTACCGTCTACAAATTTGTGTTCGAAATGAACATCAAGATATTTCCCATTGGGTCCAATCTTTGGTCTATAACATACTCTGATTGGAGCTTCACTGTAATGAAGTAATATTAATATTGAAGGAATAAAATAATTATACAATGTGAACCATTATTTTTGTATTAAAAAAATACATGAATATTAATAATATTAAAAAAACACGAATACTAACCGATTTTCAACACTCCAACAGATCCAAGATCCGGCCCAGCAATTATCAACAGTGCGTGTATAGGAATGGTTTGTCGGCAATGCAAAGGCACAAATTGCCTTTATATGATACAGCACACCAGCAATGAATGATCTTTCATATGGAGATAGTCCTGAAGGGTGACCGTCATCAACTTTCTGAGACTTGTCGATTTCTTTGAAAGATAGATGCACATGTGCACCAGATCCCGCTTAATTATTGTTTATAACAAAAGTTTATGTAAATACAAGTGTAAAGAATTTTCGAAAGCATGTAAACTTATTTATAGATTAAAAATAAACCTTGATCCTTAAAGGGTTTAGGCACAAATGTTGCTTTTATACCAGCTTGAGCAGCAACATCATATATTGTTTGACGTGATACAACCATTCTATCTGCCGCAATCAATGGACTTTCTGGTCCAGTAACAATTTCAAATTGACCTGTTGCTGCTTCAGAATGAAATTGTTCGACTTCAATCCCTTGCTCTTGCAAAGATTCAACCATCTTATCCAAAATTTCAGAAGTAGAACCACGAAAAGAACTAGCGGCAGCATAAACAGTATCATCAACGGGCACCGGAGGCGTGGTTCCTTTAAGTAAGATGAACTCAAGCTCAGTTCCAACTAAAAAAGTGATATTAAACTCTTTACGGGCATAATCAATAATATTTTTAAGACAAGTTCTAGGACAAAGAGGATAAGCCAAATAATTAGGTAAATTATCAATCTTTCCATATTCAGGATCTGCTGGTGTCAATTTATTTTCAAAGAAAACTTGAACATTTGCATGTTTAGGATTATAAGGTAAATGTACGAGTGTACTAAGGTCAGGTTTCATTAATAATTCACCAGATGCGGTGACACCAACAGTCTCTGGAACTACATCTCCGTAATAAGGTAAAGCTGTGAGAGCTCGCATAATTGTCACTCCATGGCTAGCGATGTAGCTTTGGAAACGATCAATGGGAATGATATGAAATCTATATTGACTAGAACATTCCATGTAGCCGACACGAACAAATTTCACCCCCATTTTTTTTAATTTAACGATTTTTTGTTCCCCTGAAACATCTTTATATCCTTTAAACAGTGCTAAATTATAAATTAACATTAAAATTCAAAATAATTATAATTATAATTATAATAATAGTAATAAAGGTGAATTTTTTCTTCAGAAATACCTTCATTATCGGTCAGTTTCGGAGTTAAATTGAGTTTATATAGTGTATTGGAATTCTCGAACATAATTTGTTTAGCGATTTTTATTGTTTCTTCATATGACAATTCACCATTTTCTACAGAATCTAATAAAACCTTATAGAAAAGTGGTGTTAGTCTTAAATAATATTATTCAAATGTGAATACAATAACTTATATTACCCTGCCTAAAGTCTCTCTTCCTTGAATTGCGGCGACATAGAAAGATTCTGGATGGTAATGGCCATCTGATTTTTATAGTATTTTTTTTTTTTTTAGAAAATATATTAATATAACTATATAATATATACAGTCAACTCAGGATATAACAAGCTTTTTTTTTAATAATGAACTCACTCTATAATGAACTTTTTTTTTAAAAATAAAATTATTATAGAGTTGGTACAGAAAAGAGGATAGTAAATTATTTTCCAGAATTTTTTTTTTTCTACGGACCATTCGTTATAAAAAGAGTTGACCTTATTAAAAAGATGACTTTTATAATACCTGTACTAAATAATATTTTATTACTTGGGCAAATCTCCAACTATTCAAAAATAAAATCATTTATTATTAGATTTATAAAAAGATTACAATATGAAACATGTATAAATTACCAGCTCGCGTAAACTGGACTGCTGACCGGATGCGGAAATAATAGGAAAAACGAGACCGATATCAACATATACATTGGAATATACTGAAACAAGGTATCCCGCCTGGCGGGAATAAGGATATGCAGCGTGTAAAAGAACGAACTTTGCGCTGGGATATTTTTCAATCAAAGGTCTTAATAGAAAGGGCGCAAAGAGTAATCATAAGGATACAGATGTTGGTTTGAAATTGTTCGAATAAGCATATGCCATAAAAATATTCATACCGTAACAAAAGTGGATTAGATGTAATCAGATCAAGGTCAGAATCACCAAATCCTATGTTATTAATAGGTATATATTTAATAATCGATAAGATTCAATTTAAAGGTGAAATACAATATTTATATAGCGTGCCTGTATGAAATTGGATAGGAATATCGTGCTGGGCAGCGATATCGATTGCTAAGTTCAATATGTGATCAATTAGAACTTTATTAGCAAGTCTAACAGGTCCTTTCTTATCAAAGTCCGAAATAAAGTTTCCTAAAGCAATCGCAGCAGCTTCAGCATTTGGAACACAATCGATATTCAATCCTGACCTATAAGCAGCAACACTTTTGAAGCCCACTACTGATTCAGATTTTGCACAGGTTTCAAGTTGCTTTTTCAATGGTTCTTCGAATGCAGAAAAATTCAACACTCTTTGATCTGTACTAGTTACAGATGTTGCCAAATCATATAAGATCTCTTCTGCAATACTTTCAATTCTCACGATTCTTCGCGCTACATCAACTAATCCTACATGACTTTGTACATCCATAATGCCACCTAACGGATTAAGCCCATCATCCAAAAGCAAGGACTGGATGCCAGTAGGTTCAAAGCAAATTTTACATATATCAATATGTGGTTTTGGATCCCTCACTTTTTTGATATCATCAAAGGTTGGTGGACAATTATAAAGTTCAGCAAGCTGGCGTATACCTCGTTTAAAGGCACTAGTTTGAGGCACATCTTTTAATGCATCACCCTGAGCCTCTGAAAAGCATATTTCCAATGGACAAGATAACGAAGCATCAGGCGTTAAAAGATTATGACAGTGATTGTCAATTAAAGGAAAAGTAGATACTGTTCTGAGTAAAGTTTCACGGTCGTATATAACGTTGGTCATATTCAAGTAAAATTTTAAGTTCTGTAATGATATAGAAAAAAAATTGTGTTTTCTGTTTAAATGTGATACTCTTGATTCTCCACCTACTATATATATGAACAGTCTGTAATATTTAATTGTTAAATGAAACAGCCCAAAGCTTTAATTTATAGTAAAAAATTCATCATTTTTTAGTTAGCACCGATATCGATAACGTCAACTGATAAGTACTAATTTTAGAGATAATCTTCATTTTGTGATACAAAATAATTTCTGAATTTATATCGACATTTGACCTCTATCGTTCCTTCCTTAAATTATTATTTTTAAAAAGAAAATGTCCTGTGTGCGCATAAGATTCTGCAATAAATGTCACATAAAACAACAATTGCCTATATCAACTTAAAAAAAATGAATTACGGCGTGTTTTGTAATTGTTGTGACTAGTAAATATTACCAGTAAAATAAATATGGTTATCAATATATTCATGAAATTTTTTCTATAATACGTTTTTTTGTACGTATTCATCTCACCTTTTAAATTACGGCTTTTATTGCCGTCTATATAAATCTGGAACAATTTACTGCATAAGCACGTTATAACGCCACCTACGTGTTATTTGAGTACGCCCTGAAATATAATTTTCCGAACTTTGCATAGCGATAATGCGACCAAACTTAACCAATTTTAATATTTGCAGAGTAAGATTATTACTAGTTTGATGATATAGATTGAATGCAATAAAGTTAACATCTATGTGAAGATTTCTCACGATTAATCATGCAGTCAAACCTAAGTTTGGTCCCAATGAGTTGCATTAGAGTATAATAAGAAAAATTGCATTTATGGGGGTCTGAAATATATATGGGCCAGGGCTTGAGGGCCTCATTTTAGAGAGATTTAGCTTTAATTAAAAATGAGATGCAATAATAAGTTATATACTATATGAAGTCTTTGTCTTGAAAATAACATTATGAGATATAGTAATTATTATGTTCTGTAAAGTCATTTTCAAGACAAAAATCTCATATTATATTAGATATTCACCCCTTTAAGAAACCATTTGCAACTAGCGATGCAGTAGAATCTTTCCAATGAACTTTGATACTAAAAGTTACGGTTATTAAACTATAAATAAGTAACTATAATTCGTCGTATCTCAAAAATTCATTGAGACGATTCTACTGCATCACTATTTGCAACCAACCAACCAGCTATTATAAGGTTAAGTTTAGGCTTGGGCTTAGAGTAATTGCGTAAGGATCATTTTTTTTGTTAGAGCCTCGAAGGTGGTTTTATTAGTAAAATTTTAAACCCTTATAATGGGGTGAGGAATAAATGTACTCAAAATAAAATAAATTATAAGCACGCAATTCTTGAATGTGTGCCACCAAAGTAATTTTGCACCAAATAAAAAATTCTAAAGATAAAGATAATAAAATTATAAATTTTAATAGTCCTTTTTAATTTTCAAATGTATGCTTCCTTTCGCTTCTTCATAGCCTTTGCTCTAATATTATTGTTATTGAATTCAAAGAAATATTCATACTCTTTTATTTTTATAATGTTTATAAATTATAATTTTCAAAATTTCACGACCAGAATGATGATAACTTTCGAAGTTCTTAACATAAATTAATGCATGTTAAAGTTTGAAAGAAATACAAATATTTTAACCAATAACATGTACTATGATAGTTTATATAGTTTGATTCGGTGGTTTACGTTACCCCCCCTCTTCTGCCTTTCCTCACTCCCTTAGTAAATAAAATTTGGACAAGCATACATATGTAGGGTTTCGAAACATTTCGGAAAAATTTTATATTGTTACGGATTATTTGGACAAAAGTTTTTTCCAAAAAAATTTTTTATAAACTTACTTCTTATACCCTCCCTTTTAGGTGAATGATGTAATGTAAACCACCGAACTAATTGGTCTGGCCTTATTAAAGGGGTTCACTAAATTTTATAATCTTTGTTAACCATTCATTCGAAATTACTGTAATAATATCTGATATATATACTCTACTTATGTGCAAAGCTCTTTTTATAATGAGCTCTTAATATAACGAACTAAAATTTAAACTTTTAGTTCAGTATAGAGAGAACATTCAAAAAAAAAAGAAACTTTTACGAGCGTACTGAATAAAAAGAGATCGCTGTGCCACCAACCTGGCACACGTTCAAGAATTGCTATAAACACAAAGACAACTTCTTTAAAAGCTTTTTTTTTTAAAAAAAAAATTTAATTAACCATGTGATTATAGAATAACAGAATCGTTATTATTAATTTCTACGCCACATATAGACTTAAAATTTTTAATATTGGAAATACAGTAGCTCAAATTATTGTTTAACAAATACTATATTATACTGTATAACTTATAAGTTAAATTTAAATAGCAAAATAATTCAAATAATATAATCAGTGTTGGCATTGAATGCCAACACTGTAAAAATTTTTTCATCAGAGATAAATGTCATTCATGTGTTGCTACTAGGATGTCTGGCACACCAAAAAAATTTGGCATGCCACAGGGCATGCCTTTTGTTAAAATTTGTGCCATGGCATGCCTTTTGGCATGCCATAAATTATTATATATTATTTATAATATATATATACTATATATATGGTTTGAGTATTGTAAGTATAATTTTTATACTGTACCCAGTGGCATGCCACCGTTGGCATGTCTTTGCCATTATGCCAGATACCCTAGTTGCTACGCAGTGTTGTTCCAGACACCTGTCCATGGACATGTGGACATAGGCAGTCCATGTCCATGTCCATGGACATTGGACACTATGTCCATGGACTGTCCATGTCCGTGTCCATGGACGGTCCATATTCATATCCATGTCCGGAACAACACTGTTGCTACGCAGCACATTAACTCAGATGAATAGAATGGCCTCTAGAATTTTTATTATTATATTTAAACGTATTTTGTTACACGTAGGCATAGTTACCTTGTTTCTCATTTTGGACTAGATATCTGTCTGAAGATTATCCGATTTCCTTTAAGAGCTAATGCTTACCGTTATTTGAGTCCATGACGGTAACAGTAAATTCAGAAAATTCATGGGTTACATGTTACATCAATGCTTTCATCAACGTTAACTCGAAGAGTTGTGCAATCTAATTTTTTGATCAGCCATTACTCGGTCAATAACCTATTCGGTAAATATATATTAATATTTAAAAGCTAAACATATGATTAACATTTTTAAATATATATAAATCAATAAATTATACTTGTTAGCGAAATCATTATTTTCTAGAGAGCAGCATTATACAACAAATGTACCAATTTCAAATTTCCAAAAAAGTTTACTTGCTGTGTCATCTGCTTTCACGGCACTTTTTGATCCAAGTAGAGGGGGTAAGTTAAAGAATGAAAGGATTTTTCATTAAAATTATTTAAATTAAATTTTTGATGTTTTTTTTTAGATATGGTTGCAACATTAGCAGAAACGACCTCTTCAATATTTCTGAGTAAACTTCGAGATGAAATGTTACGCGATACAAAAGGTCGTCAAATATTGAGAGAACGTCCAATTGTAAATTCTAAAACTATCGATATTCCATATTTGAGAACATTGCCTGAAGGAACCTTTGGTAAAGAGTATGTCAATTTTTTAGATGGAGAAATGGTTACACCCGATACTAGAGTGAAGGTATTATTACACAGTGATCTTATTAGATTTCGAATAAATTCTGAATTAATAATTAGATTAGAGTTAATTCAAAATTTGTCATCATGTAATAGGTAAAATATATTGAAGACGAAGAGCTCGCTTATGTTATGCAACGTTATCGAGAATGTCATGATTTTTTTCATACTTTAACTAAATTACCTGTAAGCGTTGAAGGAGAACTTGCACTCAAATGGTTCGAATTTGCACAAACAAAATTACCAATGACTTTATTAAGTTCAGTGTTTGGGCCCCTTCGATTATCAAATGAAGAAAGAACTAGATTATTTGAAAAGTATGTTCCGTGGGCTATTCAATGCGGATCACAAAGCAAACAGCTTATGAATGTTTATTTTGAGGAATGTTGGAATAAGGATATTACTGAGATGAGGAAAGAATTAGGAATCTATCTCGCTAAATAATGTATAATTTAAACTTTAGGTATTTAATATATCGATTTTTTTTAGGATGCTTTTGACAAATTTCAAGCATCGTTTTTTCCTACAATGTTATAAAGATTTTATTGATAATGACGCATTGATTTCATTCATCTTTATTCAAATATTATTTCTAAAAAGTTGAATAATTAGTTTCAAAAAAAAAACAGTATTCAATAAGTCCTAATAGTGCTAAACAGAATCTGGACATACTTAAGAAAATTCTATGTATATTTAAATTTTATTAATAAATGTAGATAGAATACCTATCTTAATAGTAATAGGCTAAATTAACTGGTTAACACGGTTAAACGATTAAACGATTAAACGATTAGAAAAATTTTAGGTGGTTCCAATCTCTAGAAACTGGCATTCCACAGTTCGACGTATCACTGTGACACGCCAAACATAGTTTAGAAAATTATATTATATTTTTTTAAAATAATTCAATTGGTTAAAACAAAAAGTAATATTGTAGTTGTGCAAGGAATCCAACAGAAAGTCGTAAAAAAGTGAAGATGCCGTGCAACAGATTTTCGTTAACCAATCATATCAAGGTTTTGTCTATAGAACTGTCTTATGCGCTTTAACTTGTTATAACTAACACTAACCAACTTTGAAATTATTCGATTGTGATTTGATTGGCCAATATATATATATAATATAACCGAAATCGATTGCTGCACCAGAGTCTGCGGATTTCTATTATGGGTAAGCCATCTTTGTTCTAATTTTTGATTTTAGACGTTCTCTAATTATTGTATCTTAAATTATATAGCCGAAAGTTTCAATGATTTTTTAGCAGGTATATTTAAAAATATACATACTATATATATATATATATATATTTAAATAATGATGTAATGGATTTTGTAGGATATATTAGTGGTGTAATGGGATTAATAGTTGGAAGCCCTTTAGATGTTCTAAAGGTATGAGATAACATTAAATACGTAATAGATATTTCACAGGCTGTTGTGAATATGATAAATTAGCACGGCAAAGCCGTGGTAATACACTGAGTTCATGACACACCGTGAAATATCAAATATATTTCACAGTCCTATGCCCGTAACATTTCTGATTAAAATTTTTACTGATGACGTCATTCCTGTAGAATAATTTGATATTTTCATAGCATTATGTCATCATAAAAATATCATCAGAAATGTTCACGGGCGAACATATAGAGTTGTGGAATATATTGGATTAACATTATATTTATAGTAAAACATATTGAAGATAAAGGCACATATTATAGGTTCGCTTACAAACAGTGCAATCCGATTCACCATCTCATACATTCTATAAGTCTTCATCATTGAAAATTTTGATGAAAATGAAGCAAACGGAAGGGGTATGTATGCTGACTTCAACCTAGTGATATAGATTTGCGTGAATTTAAGAATATTATTTATTTAACTATCTTCATTGAATGTATTAAAGTTTAAATCATTTTTTAAAGGTGTGGGTTCTCCAATTATAGGTCTTGCATTTTTAAATTCAATACTCTTTACCTCTTATGGAAGTATTTTGCGATTTTTTGAAAATATTGATAATTCATCACAAAGAATACCATCCTTGACTCAGGTGTATGTAGCTGGCTTTGGTTCTGGTGTTGCATGTTTTCTAGTCAGCACACCAACAGAGTTAGTTAAATGTAAAGCTCAAGCAGCTAAGCAAAAAGGTTTGATGATATCATCAACTACATGGAACGTGTTTAAAGATGTAATTCAAACAAGAGGAGTCAAAGGTAAACTAAGTAACCAACTTATTTACCTAAAATGTATAAAATTTTAATATAAAAGTATTGGGTAAAACTTAGGATTATATCAAGGTGGTCTTATAACAATAATTCGTGATGCTCCAGGTTATGGTGTTTATTTTTGGTAAGTCACATAATTTTAAACGATGAAATTTAATATGATATTAATCAATTTTATTTTATTAATTTCAGGGCTTATGAAGTGCTTAAACGTTCATTAAATGTGACATCAGATAATTTTGATCGCAACAATGGTCCAAAGTTACTTTTCTCAGGTGGAATGGCTGGTGTTCTTTCTTGGGCTAGCATTTATCCTTTAGGTTAGTTTCATCATTTTAATATATAGTACATAGATCACTTGACATTAATTAATAACATGTAAAGCATATCATTCAGATGTCATTAAATCACGCATACAAACGCAACAACAACCTAAATCTACTATCATGAACAAAACAATGGCATCATTTGTTAATTATAATCAACCTTTAACAAAAATTCAACAACCTTCAGCATCCTATTCTGGTATTATTGATTGTGCTGTACGTTCATATCGCAAGGAAGGAATTTCAGTATTTTTTAAAGGAATTACACCTACACTTGTGAGAGCTTTACCAGTAAACGCAGTAACTTTTTATGTTTATGAAATTATGATTCGCTGGCTGAATCGTTTTCAAAATTAATAAAACTTACTATAGCCATTGTAGATTTTGAACCTAATTAATTTCTTAAATTTTACTCAAGCATCTCTCTCTCAATGAATTTGATAAAGAATCTGATTGGCCAGTTTGTTCAGACAGACCAATCAGATTATTTGCTGAGTTCATCGAGTGAGGTGCTTGAGAATGCCCTCAGTTAAAATATTTTTTATATTGATTTGTATTTTTTAGAAAATAATTTGTTATTTAATCTTAATTTAAATATCTAAAATTTTATCAAGATTAACGTTAATTAGGCTGAAATTGTTTCACTATGATTAAGATTATTATTTTCTAACCATACTTCTAAAGTATTAAAAAAAACAAACGAATGTTAAAGACTACTATATTTAAAATCCTTGTTAGTGTAAATTCGAATAGAATTTAACAGATATAGACAATTTAAAATATGGACAATGATATTCATTTTTACAATAAACCAATAATTTGAATGCAGTAGGATCATGTGTAGAGATTCGACCCAGCATAAATTTAAACCCCGAGTTACCCACCCGCATATAAAACCTTATCCGTCGGGTTGTTAAAAAGTACTTCGTGTTATCCGGTTAACCCAGTTACAGTTAACCCGTTATCTATGTACTAAAAATCTAGTGTTGGAAATCCAATCGGCTATGCAGACCAGATTAAGTGTGGTCATTAATAAATTATCAGCAAACAATTTTTGGTGTAGTAGTTCATGTATATCATTTTTGTATATGCATCTTTTTCATAGCTACCCAGCAGGAATGTGAAAAATACACCAATTAGATTTCTTAACAAGCAAGATATCCGGATCAGGTATACTGTGAAAATCACGTTTCTTTTAAAAACTTTTGATAACTCAAAAATTTGTATATGAAACCACTTCTTGCGCATTAACAAAAAAAATTTCTTGCAAAATTTTGGTATAGTGTAATTCTCATTTACTGTAATTATGATCCTAACTCTAAGTAACTTTAAAAGTATTGCGCATATTCGAATGATTTTTGATTAGATCACCTGATTGGTGCATCCCGAAATGATGTCATACTATATTTTCTCATCTTTTCTTCTTTTCCGCCCACTTTTGGAGAAGTTAGGTTGTTTTGATGATTCTGGTCTGACTGGGTGAATTACTGTTCAGTCATCCTATGTGGCCACACTTTCAACTTATCTTTTTTTTTCAGACTTGTGTTTTCTTGCATCTACGAAGTTGAAATTACAGCTACCATAATGCATGTAATAATGCACATGCGCGTTATTTCGAAACATACCTTTTTGAAAATTGCATTTTTGACTCGAAATGACACATATGCACGTTCTAAATAACACGCCCTTATATAAGTAGATCATATACAGAATTGGCCAATCTCAAATTTGTCAAAATAATTCAAAATATTGTGCATGCGCATCCTGAAATATCATGCAGGGCCTCAAAATAACATGCATCTGTGTTATTACGTGCCATTATGGTATATAGCTAATATATACTTTTTATTTCTGTTTTATATATTATATTTTGCTTTATTTTTAGGGAAATTCTATTTTGACCCGGGTCATTTTAACCCATCACGTGATCACCTGACTAGTGTGGCTTGAATCGAGCTCTGAGGCAAATCTTACGTTTTTGATACACCTGCACATACTTTTTTGATACTGATCGACATGCAGATCCCGGTAAAAATAAAA